TTGTAAAACCCTATGTGAGAATGGTAAACTTAAAAATGAGCTTATTTCTGGAGCAGAATTCCCCAGGAATTGTATTTTACACCCCGCCTGAGAAGAACTCGGGTTCCCAGTGCTCTCCAGGTGAGTCACAGGAACTCTGGAGATGAGAGTATGTATCGTCAGTGTGAACAAACGGCACTGGCTGCTTTTAAAGATGTCCTGGTTCCCAGTGCCCACACTGGGCAGTGTGCAGCTGCCTGAGACTCCAGTTTAAACCTGATACCCTTTCCTGACCCTTTCAGGCACCTGTATACTTAAACTTCACACACATATACTCAGGCACTCATGCACACACATACATGTAAAATAAAAACAAATATTTTACGGTATGTATTATTTACATACAATATGCTTATACATATGTGTCTATCAGGTGGCACTCATAATCTCTGAAAATGTCACTATATAGGTTGTATACCATAGCAACTGTCCAGCTAACGCTTATGTATAGATTGACATTTCCATAGGCTCTTTGGATTTGGAGGAAAACTCTACAACCAGGGTAATCCAGGAGGCCATCTCAGTGGCATTGCCCTTGGTGGATTTTTATCTTTGAAAGTGGACAGAATTTAAAATTCTGTGGGCCAAGACTGTGGGAGAGGAAGTTGGGGAGATCTCTGTAGGAAGTTGTATTTGTCAAAGACTGAATCGAAATGCAGGATCTGGGCTTGTCGGAAATGCTACATTAAAATAAGTTGGATTCTTATCTTCTGTAATGTTATTAATAGCTTGGGAACTGATTTATTATGTTCCCTCTAGCAGAGCTGTTGAGAGTGATTATCTGAAGTTTGCCTTTTGCTTCTCATAGACAACTATAGATACAATACATGGAAGTGGTGGCACTTTTTCCCCACGATGAGGTTTCATCCTGAACATTTTGATGAACTTTGACTTAATATTGAGCAGTAATCAGGTTAAAGATTTGAGTGTCCAAGTCTGTTCAGGTTTCTGAAATCTGTTTCCATTCTCACTTGAATATTTTTGATGCCCTTTGAATATCACTTATGGATTCTGCTAAGAGACATTCCATTACATTTAAGACTGTGGACTGAAGGTTTATATTAGAACATTTTTGGAATGTAACATCAGTATTTTTAAGATTTATCTTATAAATTATGTGTATGTGTATCTGCGCGCGCGCGCGCACACGTGCATGTGCACACTGGTATTTACACATAAGTGCAGGTACCTGTGGAGGACCAGAGAGGGCTTTGGATTCCTGAGCTGCCCAGTGTGGGTGATGGAAACCAAACTTGGGTCCTCTGCAAGAGCAATACATACTCTAGACCACTGAACTGTCTCTCCACCCCGCCCCCCAATTTTCATTTTTATATATGTGTATGTGGGTGTGTCTGTATGCTAAGTATATATGTGGGTGCTCATGCCCAGAAACTGGAGTTACTGGAGTTACAGGCTTTTGGGAACCAAACTTGGGTCCCCTGGAAGAGCAGCAAACACTCTTAACTGCTGACTTCCTCTCCAGCCTCCTCAATATTTATTTTAAATATAATTTTGATAAATTTCATGTAAAGCATCACACAGGATTTTTTCACTCATTTTGCCATGTTTTTTCATTGTATGCATTTAACACATGTATTCTAAAGAAGTACCCTCTTCTGTGAATAAACTCCCTGGTTCTTTTCAAGCCTGCTAACAGGTTTGATCTTAGTATCTTTGGTGTTCAAGATTCCCTCTCCTGAGTCTGAATCAATCCAGAATGTACTGGCAAGTTCCTTAGTGTGTCTGTACTTCCCCTCCCACAGTATCTGTATGTGCTTCTCCCAGAACACCTGTCTTCCTTAGGGTACCCATTTTGCCTGCTAAACCCACGCTTAGATTTTTGTGTCCATCCTCACTGCCTCCTTTTCTACAAAGTTGCCCCTCGGCCTAGACTCCCAAAGCTGATTTTGATTCCTCTCTACTCTTCAGTGTTCTGCACTTCGTCATTCTCAAGACTCATTTTCTGTGTCTGAGGTTGTTATGTGCTGTGTGTGATTTCCTTTAAGGATAATTGCTGTGTCTTATTCTGTGTCTCTTTCAGCAAATATCAGAGTATCTTGCAGGGCCAGTTACCGGCTCAATGATAGATGAAATGAATTAGCAACTCATTGCAGTAATATTCTTTCCAACCCAATGCTGCATCTCCTGTTCATTTATAACTACAGATTAATTCAGTTGTAAGGAAATTATAATTTACACAATTATTGTACGATAGTCATAGAGCAACTGTCTGTAGCTAAAATACTAGATCTTAAAAGTAATCTTAAAAAGTTTAATGGAGTGGTAACTTTTTTATGTAACAAGAATATTTAAGTGGGGGTATGGTGAAGTTACTCTCACAGTATATATAGATTAGAATTTGACTAATAAATGCATGACACATGAATTAATTAGCCAAACTTCAGTAAAACATGTTAAAGATTTGAGTACTTATACAAACAGTTCTGGATAAGGATACTGAATGTGTAGATCTTTCATCTATATCTGAATTCATTATAAAATTTAACTTAGTTCTTTCAATGATAGGATGATCTGTAAGAATAAGCATTGAGAATGGACATGGTAATTCTTAAGAGTGATGAATAGGATTTGAAGGGAGTGGGGGTGTTCATAATAAAACCACAAACAAATAGAGAAGCTATTGATTAGCTAGTGTGTTATGCTAGCCAAATTAGCTACTGGGAAAGGAAAGGAATAAATCAACACCATTACCTTTAATGTGAATAAATCCCAGATTTACATAATGGCAAATATTAAAAAGGAAGGCTAATCAGAAAAAAAATTAAGAAGCAAAAAAGACTTCATAAAAGTAAAAGAAATTGAGTTTTCTCACAATGGTTTTCAGTTATATGTTTCTGTTTCTGTAAGATGAACATGAAGCAGGCACTGTGGTGCCAACTCCTTCGGAAGGCCTGCGATGGGAGGACAGCTGAAACTCAGGCATTTGAGGCCCACCTGGACAACATAGTGACACCATGTCTCAAAATTTAGGGTCTGGGGACAGTACCATAGGAAAATGTGTGATAAGTAAAATAGATGAAAGCATGCCCTCACTATGTAAAGTACACTGTGAATAAGAAAAAATTCTGAGAGCAAGAGGTAAGTATGAATAAATAAAAACACAATTGAAAATTAAAAATTGTCAAAACCGAGTAACAGTATAAATGAAACACAGTGCAGGTGGTATCCTGGTAAGATGTAATTTTTACCTTACCAGGCTACAATATTGACATTTATTAAAGCCAGTGAGCATAATGGACACATTATTACTTGCAGTATGCCAATCACTGTGATTGATTTGGTATGTAGTGTCAAGTTTTTGTTTCAGTAGTTGCTGTCCTAGTGATCTATCCTGAAATAACTGAGATGCATATTACTGTTTAACAGATCACTTCAGAACGTAGTAATGTTGTCAGTGGGTGAGGAATCTGCAGTTAGGAGCATGCGATTTGCTCTCTCATAGTTCTACAGTGAAGTGTGAGCCAGGCCTCTAGCCATCTTGTGGCTGTTGGCCGACTGGAGCCTTTGCTACCTCTGGCTACAGAGATCAGTTCCTTTCACACAGGTCTCTCCAGAGCTGCTTCTGCAATACAGCAGCTGGCCAGTGTGGGTGGGTAGCAGGAAACCTTCTCTTCATAATCTTATCTTAGAAGTGATTTCTCATTTTGTCTGCTAGAGTGTGTTTGCTAAGAAGTGAGCAGAATGCAGCCCATGTTTGAGGAAAGGATTGCCCAGGCCATGAACACTAGAAATTAGATTCTTGGGCGTGTGCTGACTTCCACTTGTTAATATACAAATTTGTTCACTATGGCTTTGTGTAGCAGGCTTTGTTTTAGGCCACCAGCCAGTTCCCAAATCATGACCTGGAGACTTCTTTATTAGTTATGAATGCTCAGCCTTATCTTAGCTCTTATTTTAATCTATTTCTCTTTATCTACATTTGTCTTGGGGCTTTTTATACCTCTCTCTCTCTGTGTCTCTCTCTCTCTGTGTCTCTCTCTCTCTCTCTCTCTCACACACACACACACACACACACACACACACACACACACACACACACACACACACTTTCTCACTCTCTCTCTCTTCTACTTTCCTGCTTCTCGTGTTCTCGTGTGTGGTTGGTTAATGGCTGCCTGGCTTCTGGCTCCAGGTGTCTCCCTCTTTTTCTCTTCTCTCTTCTCTCCTTTTGCCTAGATTTCTCCTCCTACTTATTCTCTCTGCCCACCAGCCCTGCCTGTGCCTCCCCTGCTACTGGCTGTTCACCTTTTTATTAGACCAATCAAGTGCCTTAGGTAGGCAAGGTGAAATAAATGTAGCACATCTTTACATAAGTAAACAAATGAGCAAATGTAGCACATCATTACATAGTTAAAGTAATATTCCACAACATAAACAAATGTCACACATCTTTGCCTAGTTAAACAAACATTCCACAACAGCTTTGTGGATTTATTTTTTAATAGCAAGAAAACAAAAATTGTCACAGACGCCAAGAAATACACAATGCTGCTGTTTCTGCATTGAGAGTGAGGGAGACAGTAATTCCTTGGGCTCTCAACCCTACAGTATACTGTTCCAGCATTCCTTGGCTTCAGAGTATAATATCCCATTGCCACTTAAGAATATTGAATAAGAATAAGATATCTTTTTTAATAAGATGAGAGAGACTCAAAAGTTTTTACATAGCGATCTTTATGTGGGTTTTACTTACAGGTAAGAAAAATTGGTTACTAAATGTTCTCTTTTAATAGTAGTAGAATAGAATAGCAAATTTTTGTTTAAACTTTAATTTCATTCTAAATCTATAATTTGCATGTATAATTGATAATTGTTCATAAGTTCATAAGTTATGATCTATACTCAGCTCCCTGCTCTGAAGAGAAAGCAGTGATAAAACTTAGAGAGGCTATGTTGTGACTTGACTTATGACAAATCATTACCTTCAATCTTCTTCCTAGATTGCTGACCTTTCCTTACCCAACTATCTCATGGCATCTTCGGTTGGACTGCTTCCCACTCAGCTTCTCAACTCTTACCTGGGTACCACCCTGCGGACAATGGAAGATGTCATCGCAGAACAAAGTGTTAGTGGATATTTTGTCTTTTGTTTACAGGTGAGTGTGAGGCCAAGAGTTGTCCAGCCCTACCCTTCTGTACTGATGGTTTAAACCTAGTGTTTCCTTATCATGGTTGAAGAATTGTTCCATTTTAGATAGCTGTTTCAATACTGTTTTATATTTGGATAATAGTTTTAATTTGTGGATACCTAAAAATATATGGATTTTGTCAGATGCATTGAATATCCTCTTTAAAATTAGAAAAAAGAACCATAAAAATATGATTTTTTTCACAGGGATTATTTTTAAAATCATTACAAGTCAAATGCTGTATTAGGACTTTGTATGAAAGCTTTGCCTTCAAAAAATTTTGTAATATTTGACATTCAAGGAGTTGGTTTTTATCTAAGTTTAGAATTTTTGTTTTGCTTGCTTTATTTATATGACTAAGCACTCTAATCACATAATATTAAATTTTTTATGTATTGTGCCTACATGTATTATGTGTAACTTACTCCGTGTCCATTTCAAAATACATTGAAGATTTTGGCATATAATGTATTCCTAAGGTTTCTTAAGATGATTAAGTATGTGTTATTTTCTCTTTTCTAGAAATTAGAAATCTGTCTGAAATATCTTTATAAAATTAGTGTGTTTTATTAGACTTTCTCACAGTATTTCCACTATTGAAATTTTATATTTTTGTGCCATCTTTGTAAATTACTCAACTGCAATCATTAGTGCTTCGTAAAACTAGAATCATCTCTTTTCCAGAAATTTGTTAACCCCTTTGTTTGAGCTGGCGTGTTTAAATTTGAAATGCATTGCAGGAAGGAAAAGACACATAACTCTTAGCTCAAGCATTTATAGAAAAATGGAAGCAATGCTTTGGTCCGGCCTGTTGATGTTAGTTACAGCTCAAGTTGTTTCGGAAAGGATCTAATGCCGCTGGTTTGTAAGATGGTAGTGAGGGGGTGGTCCTGAAGGTGACGTTGGCAGGGGAAGGGCCAAGCATAGGGTACGGTTAATAGAGCGAGTACACTTGCCAGGTCTTTCCATGCTAGAAATGAGTCACAGATTATTTGCTTTCTGGGTCTTACAGCCTACAGCCCCAGGAGAGCCTGCTCGTTGGAAAATTGAAACATATCTTGTATAGACATCCAGCATCTATCTCAGCTTCTTCATGTTCTGTATGTTTCTAGTCCCACTTTCCAGAACTCCAGTCCCACTTAAGTCCAAGTTTGATCTGCTCTGTATGTGTTATGGGTCAAAGGTCCCAGGATGCAGATGGGTAGCATTGCAGTTCGTGGGTCCAGACTTTCTCCAGTGTTCCAGCTCTCCCCCACACTCCACCGCTCCACTGTCCTCTTCTCCTCTCCTGTTGGCTTGAAGCAACTCAAGCTGTCTTACTTGTCCTTTCTGTGGGGCGTTTTACCCACCAACCCCACAGCTTCCCAGAGTTTTCTTGAGTGTGAGCAGCAGGAAATATTAGATAGAAGGATTTATAGTGGAGACTATCGCGGAGATAAACAGATAGAAAATAAAGGATAGCCTCGAGAGGGCCTGGAACCTATTCCAACGGGCCCCGACTGTCTCTGGCCCAGGGTTTTTATAGAGACGCCAAGGGGTGGAGCAAAAGACCTCCTCCCCCAGCACAGCCAAGTGCAGACCATCTCAGACACCTGCACTCAGGCCCGTGGTCCTGATCATCCTCTATTCGGACCTGCTGGGTAAAGCCATGAGGAACCCGAGAACGGGCTCCCACACCTTTCCCAACCTCCCTCTGTGTCCTCAGTACACTGTTCTCTTTTTCCTTAATAATCGGAAGCTTCCATGTAGGAAACCCTCAGCCTATCTAAGATCTGTTCTCCTTAATCTTCTGCCTGTGCTCCAGCCTGCTTTCCAGCCAATGGTGGAAGAGACCCATGTGTTCCTGCAGAAGGCTTGTTCCTCTGGCCTCCTTTTATTTAAATAGAGACACTTCAGAGAGTTGCTTATACATCCTGTTTGTGTCTTTCCTTTTTCCTTTTATACTTCATGAGGCTAAGGAAGAAAGCGAATGATGCATGCTGGGGAAGCCAGTGCCAAGTGTGTGTCTCCTACCCTGCACGTTTAGCTTAGCCCTTCCCAGAGCTTCTGTGTATAGTAGGACCGCAAACTCAGTGTGACTCAAACAGATTTAGCATCTTACACAGCCTGTAGCACAGATTCTCCTAACACTGTCTCCATATCTTTACATGGCATTATAGTCTAATGAAAGGTATCAAACTTTAAGTTTCCAGAAAATATATTTCTTTGGAAGAAATGAAACACTTGCAGTCTTTAGAACCCCACTTTTCTAATGCCCAGATTAGCAACTTACTGAACAGTGGCTGCTCAGTTAATGGCAATAGCTGTTACAAAAGTGGAACTTGCTACCTCCCGCTTTTAAGGACCATCCACGTGAAGAAGCTTCTTTACGCCACGTATTTATTGAATTCAAGGCCTTTACTTTTATATGTGTTGGTAACTAGTGTTTTGTTTTTATTCACAGATTGTTATAAGCATAGGCCTCATGTTTTATGTAGTCCATCGAGCTCAAGTGGAACTGAATGCAGCTATCGTAGCTTGTGAGATGGAACTGAAAACCTCTCTGGTTAAAGGCAGTCAGCCAGATCCCAGTGGCTCTCCCTTCTACAACAAGAGGACCCTCACGTTTTCTGGAGGTGGAATCAATATTGTATGATCCTTACAAACTGGTTGTCAAGAGCCTAGTATGCTGTACAGGCCTAGCAGTCACTTGCCTAGTGGCAGATACGAGTGCTGTTGCATTATGGCACAAACAAAACTGACTAGTTTTTAAATTGCACAATTTTCTAAAAGCAAGAATCATTTTCTGAGTCTGTAAATGTAAATGTAGACGCAGCTTTGGCTGCCTCTTGTTATACCTGAAATGCCTAGAGGTGTGCACTTTAGTCTTGTTGAATGGTTTTATTGCTGGGACTTATGGACAGAGAAATAACCCAAATATTTTTTCTGTTTAGTATCTTTATTTATAAAGCTCATGAATAGTTTTGTACATCTGTCTTTAAAGATGAGTAAAAGTATGCAGTTCTAAATGTATCATTGCTGGATGTTCTTTCCTTAGGTAGTCTTTCCAGAAGGAGTAAACTGTTTGTTTTTCAGGTTTGTTTTTTTTTGTTGTTGTTTTGTTTTGTTTTTGTTTTTATTGTTGTTTTCCCCTTGTCTGTTTTAAGTAAGACAACTTTGCTTCATTTTCTTTGCTTGTAAGAAAATAGATATATTTTAGTTGAATGTATGTTATCAAGCATTATGTCATGGTGGGCCTTTTACACCTTTTCATACAAGCTTAAATCCTACATTGTGGGACTGAAGTGCTCTTAAGATTCCTTTTTATTTTCACTGTGTAATATGCAAAGCAAAAGGGAAATTATTCAGGGGTTGGTGGCTCAAAAGTAGAACCCACATTCTTATTTTATTATATTGGTTTCACCCTTTAGACCTCATCAAAGGGCTGTCTGATAGCATTCTTACTAAACCATTTTCCCTTTTTATATTAATAATTAGGCTTTGAAATAAGTATACTATTCCTACAAAATGGTGGGCTTACCATCTTTGAAATTGTCTTTCAGGTGGCCTTGTTTAGTCAAAACGCCTTGTTAAAAAGAACCAAGCTTTAAAATCATGTTTATAGTTCCATTAAAGTACTAATATATTTGTCCCCATAGTCTTCAGCTTTAAAATTATAAACATAATATTAACTAAATGCCCATGTTTGTGTTATCTGTTGTGTTATTGCTGCTTTGTTTGGGGCTTTGGTATTCCTTTTCCCTGGGAAGACTCAGGAATTCTGAAATGTGAAACTGTCTCAGTTCTTTGTCTTGTAGCGTGAGTGTTGACTAGCAGCACTTAGGGCTGTAGAATACAGTCATCCAACATGATTCATATGGCACGCACTCATTAATCAGCTTTACTTTTAAAATAGTTTAATTACAAACTTAGTGGCTAGTTGATTTTGTTATGAATGAGATTGTAGAAATATGGTAACATTTTCTGTTAAGTACTTCATTTTTCTGACTTTTCCAACGTATCAAAGCTCTCTCTTCTGCCTTTTCCTTGCAGTAAAACCTTTGCCCTGGTTACTGCTGACCCACAGAGTAATCCTTTACAAGCAGATTTTTCTAGTCTTCCGCTAGAGATGAATTCGATCATGTTCGTATCCACGATTTTTGCCCTGTTCCGGTTGTTTCCCTTCCCTCACTGATACATAAGTTCCTTTGCCTTTGAGTAGCAGTAGAAGACCAGAGAACTATGATGAAAAGCATTTGGTCTACAGCGCATGATGGCCTCCAGATCTTTCTGTTATTGGTAGAAAAATAACTATATATACTTTGAGTCCCCATTGGTATTTAGTTTTAAATTTTATTTTAGTTCAACCATCCAAATAAAGGAAATATTTGATTTATTCTTTTCTGTATGACTTGGCAACATTTTTCTCGTGTTTCTCATTAATTATTTTTTTGTTAAAGGAATCTTTATTTAAGATCCATGTTTTCATACTTGTTTTAAAGTTCATGTATTTTGAAGTGCATTCTATTACTTAGTATTTGTGACTTGAACAACTTCACCAAACGAGTATCTGTTGGTAGTTTGTAATGAGTTCTTCCAAATGTTAACACTTTCCCTGATATTTGTACTAAATATGTAAAGGTAAAAAATAATTTTCTGTATTCTGCCAATCATAATTTTATATAATAAATCATCAACTTTTATAATAGTATGGATTGACCATTTCTAAAATACAAATTTAGCTATACTTTTCCAGGGTCCCAGGAAACAGCAGTCCACTATTGCCGTGTTATTTGATAGGCGCATCTGGTGGCTGGTGTCGAGGTTACATTCACACTCACCATAATCTGCAGCGTAGCTATGCCATGTTCACTGTCTCTAACCCTGCAACCTAGACTTAGGGCAGCAGCAGTTGCCAGGCAATGCTTTCATTTGGGCACATGTCGCCTCCAGCCATTTGTGTTTATGAAATGCATATTCACAGAAATGAGATGCACAGCATTCTTTCACACCAGTTAACTACAGTCTAAGGTTGCTTTATATTCATTTAGAGTCCACCTAGTTTTCAAATCTGGTGAAAGTTTCGTCCTGTTTTCTTTAAGATTTCCACTTTGGCAAATTTGCATTACTTCTTTTTAAAACCATGTTTATACTTACTGTGTTTTTATGTCTTTTTTATTTGATCATCTGATTTGTGAATTATTGAAGTCCATACTCTTGATAAACAATCATATCATCAAGTCTCTGTCATTAGAATGTTCGCTTTGAGTTTATATTCGGAAGTGACTGGATTTATTCAGGGCCAGCCATACTCACCCTTGATGCACTGTAACCAGCTGCTAATGTTCCACGATGGTTTTCCCCAGTGCTCACCTACTGGACTGTCAGACAGTTTCCTCCCTGTGAAGCTGTGAAGGTCAGTGTTCGTTTGCCCTCACTGTAAACGAATTAAGCAGTAGAGGTGCTCCCCTGTCCCCAGCAGCATATGTATTTACCTGTGGTGGCAATCTGAACTCTTCCTGGGGAAGTTGCTAGGACTTAAATTTGTTGTCCATGAGACTCTCTTTCCAGTTCTTAAAAGCCACTAGGTGTGTACCACATTGGTGCAAATAAATCCATACTGTGTGGCAGGTGCATGCCGTTCACAGAAAAGGAGCATTTGATGAGAAGAAGAGGTTTATTGTGAAGCTAGAGAACAACTGTAACTAGGTTGATGGCCTTGGTGCTGAGATTTTGTTTCAGCTAAAGGCTACACCTAGGCTGTGAATGATACTCCATGTAATACTGTCAGGCTTCTCAGATTCGATTTTTCTGGTTTCTCTTATGATAAGGTATTTAGGATATATATTTTTAAAGGTCATTGCTTCAATCTGAAAAGCCATTTAAATGGGGAGAGGAATTACTCTCGTAGGATATTTAAAACTCAGGAGGTCAAGTAAACCCACATATTGACCAGACACTGTTGACTTTGCAGCTGAATTATAACCTGGCGTGTCTGAGCTGCAGAGTGACCGCTGCAAGCTGTTCTCAAAGGTGGTTGGGATTTCAGTGGAGAGCTCTAACAGTGAAGCAGTGCAATGTCTTGAAAATTGGTATCCCACATCACTCGTGTGCCTAAGAAAATAAAAGGAAATGTTTTATTTTTCTTCTCTCTTCTCTTTCTTTTCTATGGTTGTAAAGACGTGTTCATGGGAGAGAACAGTTCAGGGGAAGGGGGGGTGCATCCTGCTTCTAGCAGTGGTCATGCTGATGATCAATCTCATGTTGGGTGTTAGGATTGTAGGAGCGGTGCTGTGACAGGTGATGCTGATTTCTTATATTGGCCTTTGCTTTTCAGCTCCTGTGTCAGAAAATGCCATCTGTTAACACATTGTTAGTTTCTTGATGCTTTTTCATAAAATCAAAAACTTGTCCTGATTTAATTTTCTGTCCATTTGTACCTATTTTCTCTGACAGTTTCCTGGAAAGTACATTGCAGCTACCATAAATGATCTTCTTAGCATCCAGAATGATGCCTACCCTTGTTTCTTTTTACCTGATCCAATGCTGTTTTTCATCTCTTGTTGTCAAAATTGCCTTCTAGAATAAAAAAAAAAAAAAGGGTCCACAAAGGAAGCCAAGTGTGATTATATATGCCTATTATGCCCACACTCCTGGAAGCTGAGTTCAAGGACAGCCTGGATTACATGGCATAACCTTGTCTCAAAAACAAAACAAAACAAAAATCAAAAATCAAATAAAGAAGCCACGGGGAATAATCATATATTGCAGAGGCTTAAGACTGGGTGTAACATCAGTACCCACATCAGACAAGCACACTGCTGCGTGCCTGTCGTTCAAGGTCATGCACCAGCAGGCTATGGCCCTCTCCTTGTTGATACTAGAATACATCTTAGCACTCCTAAGCTTGGGAAAATGTATATTAATAGGGTATATGCTGAACTGAGTTAAATATTAAAGCATGGCTATGTATGTATTTTAGTGTTAAACAAGGTATGTGCATGTGATACATTTATATTGAATCACCCTGTCAGGTTAAACAAACATCGTTATCCAGGTTTAGTAATAACCAGATAATTACCACTGCTTTAAAAACAACTCAGAATTCCTCAAGGTAATGTGCTAGATAGGAAATTTGAAAATTCACAAAATATGCGGCAAAATTGAATAGAAAAAGTGTGCTGTATATGGATAAGACCAAAAATAAACACTTTGAAATTCTTATAGAGTGGAACACGTTAATGTAAATATTTAGCATGCATAAAGTTCATGGCCAGCATGAATACTTGAAGCCTGGTCTGTTGTTTGTCTCTTGTAGTCTTGTTCAAAGCATACCTTGTCAAGGGTGGTAGGGTACTAAACAGTTTTCCACTCAGTTTTTCAGTTTATTACTTTGATTTCAAGTTAATTATCTGTTTTTTTAATGTCTCATTTCCACTGTGAACATGCAGCTGGCCCGCTTCCTGTGGAACCAGTGACTCTGGGCCGTAGGAGAGCATCCTTTCATTAGAAGGGCGTGGTCCAGGAGCGCTGACTCTCAGACACATTGTTTCTCCTCCTCTGCCCTTGGCTGCCAGGTCGAGATGAGGCTTTGTTTTTTGGTGGGCATCTTGGCAGAAAACCCAGGGTAGGGGTTTCTGTGGTACTTGCTTGGCTAGTGTCAGTGGGTGGAAAGAGAGAGCCAGAGATCCTGGGAACATACTGGCTTTCAAATCTGTGAGCTTCTGAAAGGAAATTTGATGTCGTTCCTACCAAAAACTACCATCCTCTGCGACACCCAGCACGCAGCAAAGGAGCTGATAGGCCTGAGTGTTCCCTGCTTTGGGAGGAGGGGACAATTCTGGAAGAGTAGATGCAGCGGAGCTTCTCCCAAGGGCTGCCCGTCGTCCGCTTCCCATCCCACCACGAGCATGTCTGACAGCTTATATTAATCACACCATTGTTCCCGTGGCCCCTGGAAACAGCGCAGCACCTAGAGGAGTGATGCAGCCAGTATAGGAGATTCACCAGACCTCAGATAGGATGCCCTAGCCGATGCCAGGCAGCTAAAAGTTACTTCAGAAAGAGGCAAATGCTACAACTCTAAGAACAGCACATCTTACTCCCAAGTCCCACTGCTTGGTGTACACGTGTGTGTGATAGCAACATCGGCATCCGCCCATAGGACGAATGTAGTCGTGAAACTACAGAAGGACGCTTACTAGTTTAATGTGGGTTCCTCAGCTGGTAGTAGAACATACCGGCTGGTGTCCCAGAATGGCATGAAGAACAGTGAAGAGCAAAAGCTGAAAAGGAAGGGGAAGAAGAGGCACACGTGAAAGTAAAATGGTGTGGCAGAAGTTATCCTCGAGTTAAAGTGTGCCCATCATGGGTTTCCTGCCTGAAGCCTTGAGGTGATGCAGCGCTTTGCTCAAGAGTGAACCTACTTAAGGTCAAGTGCCCTGTTCAAATCACAGGTCCACCATCAATCCTGAATGCAAGTTCTTGAGCAGTTAAGAAGTAAAGTGTTTCTGTTCTTCTGTTTCACTACGTGGGAGGTAATAGTCTGCCTCATAGTATTGGGGAAGTTAAAGAGGCTGTGTGGAGAGAGAGAACTAAGTACAGTAAGCTGTTACTTCCCAAACCTACCTCATTCTTCAGAGCTGAGAGATCCTTCCACTGGGTGGATGTAGAAGCCTAAGATGACTGGAAGGGTCCCTCAGCTCTGAAGAATGAGCAAGGGCAGTGGAACATTAAAACTCCTACATGGTTCTGGGAAGTTGCAGACACAACATAAAAAACAAACCCTGTATGGTTCATACAGCATAAAAGAGCAAAATAAAAACCCATTAGCACAAAATGTGTGAGTAAGGAAAGCAGAGCTCAGAGAAGTCACTGAGTTGGGTGAGGTTGGGTTTTTTTTTTTTTTTTTTTTTTTTTTTTTTTTTTAGTTTTTTCGAGACAGGGTTTCTCTGTGTAGCTTTGCGCCTTTCCTGGAACTCACTTGGTAGCCCAGGCTGACCTCGAACTCACAAAGATCCGCCTGCTTCTGCCTCCCGAGTGCTGGGATTAAAGGCGTGCGCCACCACCGCCCGGCGAAGTTGGGTTTTTTGTATTGTTTTTGCACGTCGTGAAAACATAGGAGCCCTTAGCTGAAAAGACAAAAAGATGAATGTCCTAGAGAGGAGGGAACGTCTTTTTTGTTGTTTGTTTGTTGTTTCTTGTACAGGTGACTTTCCAAGTCAGTGCTTCCTTCCCAGCTATCTGCTGCCTCCACCAGCAGCCTTGAGTTGCTTACGCTGGTGCATCATGTAGACTTACTGGAATTGATTACTGCTTTTGCATTATGCACTCTTCACAGGGGCTACCAAGTTCATCCACCCTTGTTTATGATCCCAGTCTACCTTTTGTATCATGTCAATATAGTTCTGAGTGAGGAAAAGAAAATTTGAATTCTCTGATTTTTCATTTCAGCCAGTCACTTTTTTTTCTTTTCAGTAAAAAGAGAAAATTGGTTAGATATATGCTTGGCCTGGGGTTATGGTGATAAGAGTAATAGGAGGTGAACTCGCTCTTGATGAGGGAGGTGGAGCGTGGAAACAGTGGCTGTGCAGCCTGAGCAGGCCTGTGGTGAGTAGAAGAAGACCAAGCAGAAAGAAGAGAACAGGAGAGAGATGAGTAGGACTGCAGGGGATAGGCCAAGATTAGAAGGTGTACCATAGTTAGTGATCGCTGAATTGAAGTCTGAAGAATAAATGCAGATTGTTAAGGAAAGAGGAGGGACATGGGAATTCAAAGCACAAGAAAGTATCAAATATTTAAGTACAGTGAGAACACAAAGGGCAGGAAGCAAAGTATTAAACCAACGCTGGAGTAATACATAAGATGCTCGTGTTGTAAATGCACAAATGGACTCATATATAATACAGGAAGCATGAGTTTTATATTTATGGATAAGAAAATACTGAAGTAGCAAGAGTATCTGAATTTTCAATTGCACACAATAGTTAAGGAAATTGAAGAATGCCAAAACCATTAATCCAAGGGTTAATCAAGGGTGAAGTAAAGACCAGAAATCAGACATGACAATAAGTATAGGAAGGAGATGTGCAAAATAAATTTGGCAAGCGTAGGATGCAGATTGGCATATGGGGAAGGCACTGGGATGGCTCACTCTTTCTGCAATGGATGGTAGCATAAATAAGAGCAGTTTAAGGCCAGATAGCTAAAAGGGTGGTGGCGGTTCAAATGCTTCTAGGGTATGGCGATCAACAAACAGACAAAGTAGGTATAGATCTGAAACTTGAGGGATAGGGCTGTGATAGAGGATTGGGAATAAACACAGAACATGTAGTGGTAGATTTGGTACCAAGTGAGGATAATAGTGACCAGGAATAGAACTGGGAATGAGAAGAGTCTGAGCCTGGTAGTGCTGCCTGAGGAAAGCCACCTGCAGTGTGAGATGGAAGGTTCTAGAAAGAACTCAGTTTGACTACTTCAGAAAGTAGAAAAACAAAGCACTCAAATGTATTCAGTGAGCTTAACAATTAAGATGATGTTGGTGTCTTGGTGACAGTATATGGAAGCAGGAGGTGTGAAGCCTGAAGGGGTGTGCTGTGTGACTTGGAGATGAGGAAATAGATGCTGTAAATTAGGTCTCTGAATAACTATGGCAACTGAAGGAATAACAGGAAAGACCCTGAAGTGAAGGGAGACCTGCTTTTCAAGGAGGTGCACACTGCTGACTGCCCTTCTCTAATTTTTCTTTTCTTCTCTGGGGTACTGAGAATGGTATCCCTCACACTAGACAAGTACTCTACCAATCTGAGATCTTAGTCACTCTTTGAGACAAGAGTCTCACTAAATTGCTCAGATTGGCCCAATACTTGAGGTCACCCTGTTTCAGCCTCCTGAGTAGCCAGGATTCCAGGCATGTATGCTCAGGCTTGGCATCTTTCCTCTGACTGCTCATGTCTTTTCAGTTAATACACCTATTTACTGTGTCAGTATAAACTTCAAAAGACAGACTGAGTGAGAAGAGAAAGCACACTTGGGGAGCAGGGAAAAGATGAGGCAGGACTAGGTTCTTCACATTAAAGTTATCTGGGAAACCAAAGCACTTGCCACGCTGGCCCTTCTCACCTTTTTGTTCTAATATCTCTGAGT